GTATTTAAATTTTTTGTTGCAATAGAATATATGCTGAATTTCATTAAGATAAATTTTATATTTCATAATATTATGCAAATATTTGAAATAAATTTATAGGCATTAGGATACTATTGTTACGTTTTTAAATGTTTAAAGTGCTCATCATAAAAGTAAAAAATAAAAAATATTTTATTATTTTTTGTTACCGTCTAAGCGTTCTCAATTACACTTTACTCCTAAACAGCAAAGTTTAGTTACTCAGAATAATCTGCTCAATGCATTATATCTTAAGTAACTGAACTGATCCAAAACTGCCGACTGAATGTGCAACTTTCTTTTGCCAAGTTTGTATAATTCTGTATTTAATTAATAGAAAAAAATTTTTATTTAATAATTTTGTAAAATATTATGTTATATCTTCAATATAAACAAAATTTTATTAATTGAATATCTAATATTATTTTATTAATAGATAGATTATTGATCAAAATTAAAAACGATAAAAAATAATGAAGAACTAAATTAATAAATAAATAATTAATAAATACCTTTTACATTTAAATTTTTTTTTTTTTAAATATCATTAAATATTATATATACAGATTAATAATGGTAAAAGAAAGTCGAAATTTTTAATGCATTAAAATGAAATCTGACTGTACTGCCATAAATAATGTACATTTCTCAAGGATAAATTTCATTGATTGGTGGGGCTTGAGTCGCTGCTCTTTGACAACTTTGCTGATAGACTTTGTTTAAAAATATTTGATTCATATTTTATATTAATTTTGATTTGTCACTATAAATTTTTTTACTATACAAATACTTATATACAAAATTCTTTATTACAGTAATGTTTTTGGTAACATTTTATAATTTAGAATATTTATTTAAATTTATATTTATATCATAAAATTTCTAAAATATAAAATTCTATATTCATATAGAATAATCATATTTTTTTATAAATGTATTCAATCAAAATTATCTTTATTATGAAAAATTTCTGTTATTATTATAACAAATATTTATATTATATATTAAAAAATCCTACTTTTTGTCATTTCAATGAACATAGTCTTTCAGCAAAAAGTTGTCTTGGGTCACAATATTGCAAAAGGCAAAAGTATAGAATTATTAAGAAGGATTTATTTTATTTATAAAAACATAAACAAAACGTTGGGATAAATCATGCATAAATATATAAATATAATAAGAATAATTATAATAGAAAAACGAATAATACAATGTTAATTTGATAGGTAATATATAAATGAATATATTTTGTAAATAACTTCTTGTAAAGATACATCTTCATTGTATATAGAAACTGTTTAAATTTTTATTAAATTAGTAATAATTCAAATTGTGCAACATTGTCATACTATTAATTATTTTTTGTGATTGTGCACTAACGACACTAGAAGCACTCTTTTGGCATCACTTAAAATATATAAAAATGTGTACGCATACGTATATATTATATTATGTATGTATATATGTGATGTATATGAACTATTGTATATGAACAATTGTTTTTGTGAACAGATAATCTAGTTTTATATTGTATAAATGTAAATTATACAGTTGAGAGTTGGAGTTTTTAAATGAACCTGTGATAGCCATCACAGCATTTTTTTATGTTGAGAATCTGCATTTAAAATGTCACAGTAATGTGTATGCAATTGTTCCATAATTCTGTGTACGTTCCGTTATTTGTCTTAAGTAAATAAGCATCTGCAGGTTAGATTTCAGAAATGAAGAAAATATTATATTATGGTTATTTTTCCTTCATATTAAAATTGTATTGTTTAATAAGTGAATAAATTCTAATTTAAATTAGAATCACATATTTAAAATTTTTAAAATAAACTTCCTCTAACTATTTCTTCATTTTTATATTAATTTATAAAAATTAATATATAATTTTTAAATTTCATAAAGAATAAAATTGAATAAAATTTAATATTTTCTTCATATTCTTTATAGAAGCTTTGATGGCTATCAAATAGTATCTTTTAAAAAAATATTGTCATATGAACGTTGAGTATTGAGTTCAATAATATTTTGAATAGGAAAAATTTTAACAAATTTCATCCCTTGAATGAAATCATTTTGAATAATTTCGTTAAATTTTCTTCTATTTTTAATATTAAGTTAAATTATTTAGTTAGAACATTGCTTGTTTAACAAAATTTATTTCAATAGATCTTGACTCGTATATTGTAAATAGTAGCATGCTTATTTTACATGGTGGGAATTTATGCTGTATATAAAACATATAAAGAAATGAATATTCAAATTGTGCGTTTAATTTGATTCAGCCCTATATTGTAATAGAATTACATATAATATAAAGTACAGTAATTTAATAATACAATTTAAGAATCAGCAGGAAAGAAATAAATTGTAATTGCGATGTACAATATTTTATCTTTAAAATAGAAAAGTAAGTTAGGGATTATTATGTTATAATTTTATTATTGAATATCACATTTATATGATTATAAAGGAAGTAAGCTTTCTTGCGTGTAAATATAGATATTTTAAAAATAAGTAAATATTTTGCATGTTTACATAATTAAGGAGCTTCTAAAGTTTGTCTGCCATATAATTGCATATGTAGTATGTATGTATTATAATACAAATAATACTAATACACCAAAGATCACAAGTTGATTGTAATATGTAACAATTGTTGATATTCAACACATTTTTAAAAGATGGTGTATTTGTAACGCTCAATAAATAATTGGTGTTTATAGTGTGCTTCATAAACACATAATGTATCATTATTTTCATGCAGACTATAATGATTATACCAATTAAAATGTTCAATTTTATGCTCATGTGTATGTATGTATAATGAATGCATTACAAGCTCCTTAATTTTGTTTGCAGTGCCACTAATATTCTATCATAAATATGAATATGCGTTTTAAAATCACCAGCTCCTAGGTGAAACTTGATGACTCTAAAACTTGCTGTATACAAAACATTTGTATTTTTAGTATTTGATTAATTTAGTATTTGATATAAATAGCAGTAAAAGTAAATGATTGATAATAATTCAAGTGGATATATAAATATAAATATATACATAAATAAAAAATTAGATACAATATTATATTTGTAGAAAATGATAGCACGTGAGAAGAAAATCGCGCTATGATTATGAGAAAAATATTACAATTATATTATTACCTATTATTACACAAAGTGGATACACAATATAGTAATTTGCTAATTGTACCTTTTAATAATTATTGTAGACACATTGACGAAGGTTTTTTTCTTGTTATTAATTATTACCATAAACTTAAAGGATAATGAAAAATGTGTTATAAAAAGATGCAATTGCTTATTTTGTATCATACCCAGTTTCATGAATTACTTTGATATTTCACATATATATATTTGTCAAATCAAAGTGATTTTGTGGTCATTTATAATAGAAAAATACATTCTGTAGTTATATCAATTTTTCTAGTTATAATTTAACAATAATTATTTTGTGATAAAAAACAAATAATATTTTGCAAACATATGCAAATATTTTCTTTCAGGATAATAAATACAAAAAAATTTAAATTAATATTTTTTTATATATTTTTAAAATTATAATAATTTTTATGTTTATTTCATCAATTTTATATTTAACATATTAAAACGTTTTGATACAATATAATTTTTTCAAAAACATTTTTTATTTAATGTTTTAGAATATAAAAATAATTGAAACATGATAATATGAAACAGATTTTTATTTTTTGTAAATTGTAAATAATGTTAAATATTTATCAATTATTTCTACTTATAAATTACTCAAAGTTTATGAATGATATATAATTTCAATTTTGTTTATTAAAATCTTTATAAATATATTTATTTTAAAACAAAATATGTTTTGTGAAAGTATGATATAAATATATTTAACAATTTCACAAGATTTTATTTCATATATAAAGATGATTATGAATGAAATAAATTATTTTCAAAAAAATACAATTATTAAAATATTATAAGATTAATAAATAATATTTGTTTACAATAAAAATATAATAAAAATATTTAAAACAAATTCATTTATCAAATTAAAAAATCAATTTTTTAAAAATAGTTTATAAATAAATCAATAAATAAATCAATAAAAATATCTACATTTTTGGATAGTAAGTATAAAAAAATTTGTTCTTTATATTTTATGTAATCTGATATTTCAAATTAATTATTTATATATTTGTATATTTTTTTATACGTATAATTTGCTTAAAAATTTTTTTACAAATATCAATAACATTAACATATTGTTTTTTATATATTATTTTATAAGATTATTAATAAGTATTAAAGCTTTATATTTTTAGATACAATACGGATAATAAATTTATTATTATATTCGTAAATGCAAAACAATATATGAATATAAAAATATAAAAATTCAAAATAATTTAAAATACAAATATTATAATTTTTGTCTGCAACTAAAAATACTAAAATATAAATAATTTATAATTTTTATAATATAACAATTTACATATCTTAAATGTTTATTCTAAATATATATTTTGATTAATATAAAATATCTTTTACTTAAATATAAATATATTATTGCAAAGAAAAATGATGTATATAAATATATACTAGGAATAGCCAAACTTTGGCGTAATAGAAGCCAAATATTATTTATTAAAAATTAAGAATCGTATTCTTTATAGAAATAATATTATAAACATGTGCTTATATATATGTTTATATGTGTATATATATTTTTATGAGATATAATAGAGATAATAATAGTTTTATTATATAAATTTATTAATTTATTTTTTTTTATATTTAAATACTAATTTTTTATATTTAAATATTAAATATAATATAATATATATATAATAAAATAATAATAAAATATACATATATATAATATTTGAATTACAGCACAAACTTGAAAACTGCACGTGGCTTATAATTTGTCACTGCTCATGCTTACGTTTTATTATATATACGTATCTAACTATAAATATATATCAATATAAAGAGCATAACGGTATAAACGGGATAGTATTCAGTGTTATACAATTAATTATACAATTTATATTTTGTAAATAAATAAAATTTATATTCTTAAAAATGAGTATAGATAAAGAAGAAAAGAATAATTCAGGAACGAATGAATTTATTAAATCTAAAGAAAGAAAAAAGCGACATGCAAATGAAAATCATAATATGGAAGTAAGTAAAAAGGTTATGTTAAATTTTTAAAATATTAGTTTATTTGAATAATATTTGATTTGACTTTTAAATTAAATAACTACGTTTCTTTTTTCTAAATTTTTTAATTTTTTAATATTATTATTATTATTTTTCTTTTTTTTAGATTGAAGTAATTAATGGTATAGAAGGAAAAACAAATTCGTATATAACCTCAAAAAGAGCTAAAACTGTACAAGGCAATGAACAAAGGAAGGTAAAAAATTTAATTCGATTCATATTTGAACTTTATTGATGTTATATATGTTAAATATTTTTATTAAAATAATAAAACTAAAATAATTTCAGATATCTGTACCTGCTCATAGATATACTCCTTTAAAAGAAAATTGGATGAAAATATTCACACCCATCGTTGAACATTTGCAATTACAAATTAGGTTTAATTTGAAAACTCGAAATATAGAATTACGAACAGCTCCAGAAACTCCTGATATTGCTAATCTGCAGAAAGGAGCAGATTTTATAAAAGCATTTATTTATGGTTTTGAAGTAGAAGATGCCTTAGCTTTGTTACGTTTAGATGATTTATTTGTAGAATCATTTGAAATTCAAGATGTAAAACCTCTAAAGGGTGACCATCTTTCTAGAGCAATTGGAAGATTGGCTGGAAAGAGTGGAAGAACAAAATTTACAATAGAAAATGTAACAAAGACTAGAATTGTACTGGCAGATAGTAAAATTCATATACTCGGTTCTTTTCAAAACATACAGTTAGCAAGAAGAGCTATATGTAATTTAATTTTGGGTAGTCCTCCATCAAAAGTTTATGGACAATTAAGGAATATAGCAAGTAAAATTTCAGAACGATTATAAAATAAACACAAGTCAAATTGATTTATATATTTATAAAAACTTTTTCAGTTTTTAAAGAAATTAAACAATTTAAATAAAATTTAATGTAAATCCCTTATATATATATAATTATCTTTCATTTGACTTCATAAATTAGTCTTCATTTAAAGAAGTATTTGATATTTATATTTCCTTGGGACTTTATTAAGAACTAATCTACCATCATAACTAAGTGATGCAAATGTCCAAGGATCTGCAGATGACCATTCAACTGCATAAACACTATCTTCATGTTCTTCATATCTACCAACAACTCCATCTTCAAGTCTAAAAATGATATAATTTAATTTTCTATAATATAATAATTTGATTTATAATATCATTTTAATTATTAATTATTACTTGTTCTTCTTGCAATTATAATCATTTTGTGTACAATCATCTTCAGGGGATACTATATGTCCAAAAGATTCTGAAGATATTGAAGCAATACTACATAATATTACTCTTGAATCACTACTTGAAGATAAAACTAATTGATCATGAAAACGATTAATTCGAATACTCCACACCCAATGTGAATGTTCCATACAAGACAATACTGGTTCAGAAGGTGATCGAATATCCCAAAATTTCATGTAACCATCATCTCCACATGTAGATAAAATATATTGACGATTCACATTAAAATCTAAATCTCTGAATGTAATATTAATTACTTATTATTTTATAATTAAATATAAAATCAATACAAAATAAATTAAAATTTTACTTTATACCTAATTATTTGAGAATGCGCAGATAAAATTGTCCAAGAAGCTTCAGCAGGATTTCTGAAATCCCATCCACGAACATTATTTTCATTCAATGTAACAAACTGATTACAACCATTATGAGGATTCCATTTTCCATTTGTAAAACGAGGCTGACCTTTACTAGCTAAAGTACCAGAAGTACTAACCTAAATAAAGTAATATAACAAAAAATATACTTGTTAATAAATAATTTTGAAATCTATTTTTACCTGAGGACCATTATTAGCTAAATCCCATAATATAAACTTATTATCCACAACTGAAACAGCTTTTGTTGAATCCATTGGATGATAAGCAATAGTTTTAAGATCTGTACCATATGGTGTGGTATCAATTTCTGCTAAGTTTTTGAGATTTTCAATATTATTTGTATATTCTTTTAATTCTGGCAGCTTCCAAAGTGCTCCTTTCATTTGACAAGAACCATTATCTGAATAAAAACATTTGTTTTATTAAATATAATTAACATTTATTATTTTGATTAAAAAAAAACAATTTCATAATTACCATTTAAAGTATTATAACAAGTAATAAATACATTGGGATCAGTAGGAGAAGCTTGTAAAGACCAAATTTCTCCAATAGAATGATGAAATACTTGAGTCTTTAAGCCACCTGTTTCTTCATTAAGTTCTACTAAATGAACTTGATTGTTATTAAATTTCAATGATTGTGTTCCAATTAAAAATCTAACAATATCTGTTTCTGCTGTTTGAGCTGATAATGCTCTTGTCTATAAAAGAAAATTATTATGAATGGTTAATTAATAATTAAAATATATTAATTTCAAATGTTAATTTCATCACATTTTAAATTTAAAATTTTATAAATTTATATAAGAATGAATAATAAGATTTATATTCCGTATAATATATATTAAATTATTATTTACAAAAGTTTATGATTGAGAAGAATATATTGTAAAGTAATAATAATTAAAATATTTTATATAAATATTTAAATTGTATTGCATACTTGAAATTCAAGGCCATATATTACAGGACTATCATTTTCCATTTTTTAATATAGTTTCTAAGTATTCTACAATAAATTGAAAAAAAATTTTTATTTACAAAGCATTTAGAATCAAAACATATGATCTATATCAATACAACTTGAATAGTGACAATAAAGATATGCAACAAAACATTAATGTATTGCTTATTTAAAAGGAATAATAACTAGAGGGCACTAAAAATAATTAAGAAAATAGTTATCATATTATTGTAATATATTATTCGTATAATATTTTATAAAATAAAACATATTAAATTATTATTATATATTATTATTATATTAAAATATAAACTGTTGAGAATGTCTTTCTATAATTAAAAAAAAATTATGACCAAATATTAATAAATAAATATTAAATTTTTATATTAAAATTGAATTATTTGTTTGAATATATATGAAAATTTATTAAATTCAATAAATTTATTAAATCGCGTAAAGCAAAGAAAAAAATAAACCAATCAATGTTGTTTTACCTTTAAAGTAAAGAATTGCTAGAACATCTATATATTTTCGTTATCCCTGACGTATCCCCACCACTTAACAGCTCCCTACGTTGCTTTGCGTCGGCCGACGAGTAACCAGCCGTGGGGTCACCAGATAAATTATGTCAAACGGAGTGGTGTTACGAACGTGAAACGATTATCGGGATTCGCTGTGCTCGCATACAAAAGTTGCAAAGTGCGCGCTCATATACAATTTAAGTGTGGTGCCGATATAATTTATAGACTGATCATCTCACAGATTTTCTTTAAATAAGTGTTAATTTTGAATGATCGTGTATAAACGTGTACATTCATTATTGTCGTTTTGTACAAATGTACGTATCTGTATTTATTTCTTTGAAAAAATCATGCTGACCCGGCAACATCAACTGTAAGTAATTGTTTCATTAAATTTTTTTTAAATTAAAACTTTCAAATTTCAATGTCTATTTCAAGTTTATTATAAAACAATCTACAATTATTGTTATAAAACAACTATGTAGATATGTATTTTTTTTACTTTAACTAAAAACATTTATGTCATATAACCAAATTTGACAAAAATAAAATTAAAAAATAAAAATATTTTGGTAAAGTACATATTATTTGTATAATATTTTTTAAAAATATATAAAATATTTTTTAAATATCTAGTACATAGTTTAATATTTTTGCTATTCTTTTCTTTTCTTTTAATTTGAAATTTATTAGTTTTAAAATCATTTTTATTAATTTTTTGTATCATTTTATTTTTATTAATATATATATTTTATTATTAATATAATATATAGATATTTCTTAATAAGTATTATTAAATTTATTATTATTTAATTTATTATTATAAAATTTATCTTTTATGAAAATTGTTTTGAATTATCAAAGTAGAATTAAGAAATTGACAAATATCTATATTTATTTTAAAAGAACTTATTTTATACTTAATTTAAAAGAACATTGAAAAATATTTTAATATCTAAACAGATGTAAATTAAACGAAATTTGACATAAAATAAAAATAAAAGTAAAAATTATTGTATTTTTATTGTATTTATTTTTATAAATTTATAATCATTATATATGTTAATTATATAATATTGCATATAAACAAATTAATTACAGGAATTTTCAGTTTTCTATTACGAATTTTTATTTATATTATTAGATTAAAAAATATTTAGTTATTTACATTTTTATTTTCAGTAGATTACCTTTGAATATAAATTTTCTTCTATTATAGAAATGTTGAAAAATTTTTAAAAATCTTTTCTACCAATTTTCGAATTTTTTATATGTTTTATATCAACAAAAATAAAAATTATTAAGTTAAAAAATTTAAGACAAATTAAAATAACAAAACAGGAAATTGTAATTTTTTTTAAATAAATAATCGTTTATTGAATCTGATCAATTTTATATACATATATTTAAATATTGCTCAATATTTTAATTTAAAATAATGTTATAGTATTGTATAATAGTAATCGTTACATATATATATATATATATAATAGTATTGCTATATTATAATGGTAGCATAATAATTTAATATACTATTTAAATTTTGCTATTGATATGTTTCGATATATATTATAATGAATAATTATATTTATATATTGTCATTACTATATTTTTTTGAAATTTTTAATATAGAAAATTTTAAAAATATATTATCAAAAAATATATTCTCTATTAAAATAAGTATAAAATTACTAATACCAGTATGTTAAATTTCTATCAATCATTTAAATGATAAAATTATCAGAAAATTATATATTTTTTCGTTTATTGTATTTCTTGATTTTAATGATAATGTAACGACTAAACATTTTTTGCTTAAATCTTCTAACTATTGTTTCATCGCTTTATCCTATTTTAAATTTAAATTTAGCAACTAATCGAAAATATTGAATATTTGATCACGATCAGTTATGTGATTGCTAATGCGTGTATTCATTGAAGAAGTTTTTACATCTTTGAAATCGATCATTATCTTGCGCGTATACGATTAGATGAAAAAAAAGAGAGAAAGGAGAAGGAAAAAGAAGAAAAAGAAAAAGAAAAAGAAGATGAAAAAGAAGAGGAGCAATGGCACCGTCACGCGTTACGTCGTTTGGCCTTTCAGTGCGTAAAAACGAACCGTTCGGTTGGTTCGCCGGCTGCCACCGTCAGTTTTCTCTCGTTCGAGAGCGTCCGCAAGCCGTTTCAACTCGGCCTCTCGGGTTAATTGATCAGCCGGGATGTTTTCGTCCTCTTGGTCGACCTCGTTGCTGCGGCATCGGTCAGCTTGCTGCCGATGTCGACATGGCAGTCTGCTTCCACGTGAGATCGATCACTCGAGACGTACCGGCGACCATACGCTATATGCTTGTATGAAAATGTATATCACTTGTTCAACAGATGATATTCTGTAGTCTGCGCGCGAATAAATAGCTGTTTCTTATTATGAAAAAAATATTTATTTCTCCATTTTTTCACTTTATTTTGACCTTTATTTTATTTTTCATTATGACCAAATGACGATTCATTCTCAAATGAATTGTTACTGTGATATTTTTTAATGATAATCTTCAAAGACTATCGAGAATGTTTAAGAGTCCTCGAAAATATCCTTTAAAATAAACAATTTTGAAATTTAAACTAATTTAAAAATCTATCAATTTTATAGGTATAAATGATATAAGATATTAATGCAATTATCGAAGCGTTCAAATGGATTGAATAATTAAATTGAAATTTGATTTTTCTTATTTTCTTATTTTCTGCAATATAGTATGAATTTAAATATGGATAGCAATATTTATTTATTTTAATAATTTTTTAGAATCCTTACTAAATAAGCTTTAAATTAAAAAATAAAAAAAAATAGATATCAAACTTTTTAATAATTTTCTCATTTCAATTTCAAATGAATAATTAGATTTATTAGATTTAGTTACACAAATTTTAAATTTTAGATTTATAGATATATATTTTTAGATTTTAGATTTTTAACAATTATCGGTAAAAATCTTTTTAATAAGAAAATATTTATCGTTTCTTCTTAATTAATATTAATATTAATATTGGATTATAATCTATCTAAGAGATTGATTCTAAAAGAATATAATTTTCAAATTAAACAATTACTTTAATTCTGAATTCATTTATACATATATCCATAGAAAAATCTAATGATCATTTGTGAATTGCCAGACAGATGAACTTTAATGAATAATGCGTCAAGTCTTTATTTTTCCGCGCGGTAAAACCAAGGATAGGGTGAAACAACGGCTCACCGTACACCTCAAGTTTCGTTTTAATCAATACTGTCGCGTGGTCGCGTGCAGAAAATTCTTTGGCTTATCGCGATCCGTGCGAACCAGTAAAACGGTAAAGTGCAGTTAACGCGGCAGAAAGTGCATTTACTTTCGAGCTAAGCATATGAACCATCCATGTCCGTCTTTATC